CGCCAGTGTATATATTGTATATATATATGTACCTTAGGCCGTACCACTTTACAAGCAAAACAAAAAAAGTTCTCCTTACAGTCCTAAGTCTAAAGTATTTGTGCAAGGCAATTTCGTTCTATGAAGTGGTTTAATATTTTATGAAAAACTAAATTTTATATCGATCGTGAATTTGTTTTTTCACTTCACCACTTCATCGGACAAGAATTGACCTCCAGGGGTCGAGCTTTTACAATTTCGCCGGCACCTACATTCGGCAATAAAATTTTTTTCAAATAGTTCTAATCGCTGTAGGGTAAATCTCATGAAGAAATCCCATGATTGATATTTTAACAGGAAAAAATAACAGATCTTTTGTAATCTTTTTTCAATTGTATTAAATGTGCATGGCGTATGAGTAACATTCTTTTTACTAAAAAATCGATGGCAAATGAAAAAATTGTGAATGGTCAAATGAAAATGCGTAATCATTTTTTTGATGATATATGGGCAGGAAAGAATGTTACTCATACGCCATGTACATGTATACATACATATCGGTAATCTCCGACATAAAAAAAATTAAGAACGCGTGGCTCGGTTTTTTTTTTGGTTCATTTTAGCGTTCCTGTAGTATTTTTCGCGAGCTTTAATTTATTGACATTAGGGTCGTACGTTAGGCTGCTAAGATCTGAGATCTTTTGGGTACGTTCTTCTACTAGGTACTTGAGATCAATGAACTTGAAACAAAAAAATAGTCTCCTTGAGGCAAAAACATCGATATATCATACTTTATGATTCGACAGTAAATGCCGAAGATATGACGAAAGAAGTAAAAAAAAAATGCGACGCCTACGTTCGGCCAAAAAAAAAGAAATCTGCAATTGTCTTTTATAATAAAAAAATTTATAATTTTTCATTTTGAAAAGAAGTTTATTTAGAGGTCGCGCTAGTCGTGTTCTCAATATTATTATTTTCATGAAATGTTAGTGAGCAGCAAAAAATTTTGCTTTCATATATTTAATTAAATACACACCTGTCTTGCGCGGTTCTAGTGCCCGAAAATATGCTTTAAAAAATTACTGCTAAAATTAAGACGTTGTTACCGAACGTAATGCAAAGAGGAATGTCATTTTGCGCTCTAAATTTTTTAGTGATGGATAATTTTTTGGTCTGCTCGAACTCGATTTGTGCAAAAATAATAATAATTCCTACAAAGGAGTTTATTTTTTTATGAATGTCCATAAGTAACCAAATGAATTTCTAAGATACATTTCCAGGCATTTAGGTATGTATATCCGGGTATGAGCATTCAATCCGGGAAATTCGTTAGCTTGAATAATTACTTAAAAATTTACTGCTGCCTACAAATTTTTGTACATTTATATGTAATCAATTTGTATTTGTGTAAAGGCGCTATTTCCACTTGAAACAAAATTATATTGCGTGCCCTACAAAAAAATGTGAAAATAATACCTATAGCCTTAAGCATTTGTTACAAAGTGTTTCCCCAGTTTAAGTTCAATTTTTATTTTTCAGTAACTAAAAAGCTCTTCACCCATAGCTTTTATTATTTATAAAGCTCTTCTCATCAATTACAGTAATTTCCCATTTTTAAAATGCCACTAAAAAGTCGCTTTACGACTCGCCACAACATCAATCAACGACTACGCGAATAGCTGGCCAAACCGACTTAGCTTTTTGCTGTGCGCCTGTCAACACAGTCACTCTTTCAGTTTGTCAAGCCGTAGGTACTCCTAACAGAGCGAATGTACGAGTGTGTAACACATCAATTTGACTTTTTATGGAATTTTTCCACTTTTATCATTGCTCGAGAGCACATTACAAAAAACCTTTGAGTATGTACTCATAAATTTTTGAGTGGAAATTTTTTTTTACAAATTTTACATACATACATACATACATACATATATATGTATGTGCATTTATATGTAGATAAATGGGGTTACCTGAGTATGCATTAGACTGCATAACCAAAAAAAAAAAAGTTTAGGGTTTTCCGTCGGGATTACAAAATTTATTATATTTGAAGACTTCCACGAAAATATTTCGAAAAAATATTAAGATTTACGTGAGCTGGACCGTTTTGAAAATATCTACAAAAATTGAGTTTTTATGAGTAAAAATATTTTCTTAAAGAACTTTTTCAAAAAAGTCCTCTCAGATGACAAAATAGTTTATGCTTTAAAAATCTTATTAAAAATATTTATGCAAAATTTCAACGGAATCATAATAATGCGATTTTTGATGCGGTTTTTAAATTTTTTCAAAGATTGGTTTATTATTATGATTCCGTAGAAAATTTTTTTAAATATTTTTATGCAAATTTTTGAAGCTCAAACTGTTTTTCATCTCCAGTCATTATTTCAAAAAATACTTAAAAAAAACTATTTTTATTCGTGAAAAAAAAATTTTTTTTTTTAGATATTTTCAAATCGGCCTAGCTCAAGTAAATCTTTAATATCTGTGGTCATAAGCAATAACGCCTAAGTCGACTTAAGAAAGAATGGAGTTATATATGCTATCGTATTCTGCGAATACTGTTCCATGTGTATATGAAATCCCCATCTCGCCCCTATTTACCTGATCCATGTTTAAGCGCACTCAAAAGCTGGTCCATAGCGTCATAGCTCAATTGAGCCACCTCACTGAGCTGACTCATTAAAATCAGCTTGAGTCATTGAGTCTACTCGTGATAATTCACTGAGTTATACCATCCTGCGAAGCCGCCCTCGATAGCATGAAAATGAGCTTCATATACACCGCAATGCTTGAATTTGGTTTTCCCGAGAATTGGCTTAGTTATATCGTAAGAATGATTTAACAATAGAAAATTGACTGAACAAATTTCCGTACTGTTTCCGTGGCTACTAAAACGAAGCAGAACTGAATCAATTTTAGAGCGAGTGAGATGACTTTTATGCTAATGTATCCAGTCCCATTTTTTTTTTTTAATTTATTTGCATGACTCGCAGTTAAGAAGTCACTTCACAGTTAAGACTAAATGCGAATTACTTTTATATTATGAAAATTTGCTCTGAAAAATATCGAAGAAAAGGGAAATACTTTTCCCTCCACCAATTATTTACATATACCGGAAAAGTCAAGAACCAACAACAACAACACAAGAAATTATACGTTTTCCACGCCAAGTTAATTTTTACCATTCTGGAGTGTCCTAATTTTTGTGCCCCTTTCGAAACTATTGAAGACTTATATGTATGTTTAGCACTACGCTTTAACAGTAGTTCATTAGCCTTATAGTATGCACTTATGTAGTTCACTGGCCTTCATAAACGGTATTTATTACAAATCCAATACTAAGACTCCGACCTAAAGGATTTGATACATATGCACACTTGTATGTACGTACTATTTGTATTTATATACAGTGCCGGCCACTTGAAGAGCGCTCCCTATTAACTCTTAGTATAATAAGGTGCAATGTCATACAAATTTGTCTCCCATACAAATAACGTTCGGCCTAGGGATGGCAAAAAAAAAATAAAATAATCGATTAATTAGCCATATGATTAATCACAAGCCAAAATAATCGCTTAATCGAATTTTTAAAGGCACTTTTTTACAGTGAGTATTCACAAAAACACTTTTCCATAAAAAAATGTCGAATTCTCTTGTTAATTAGCCTTAAATAAAATAAAGCGAGTTGTTTTAGAGGCGATAATTATTTATTATTTAACCAAGTTTGCAAAAATAAAATCTTTTATTGGCGTTTTGTTATTAAGCGATTGCGTTTCTCGGTGGCTGTAGCACCAGCTTTTGAAAAAAGGCACTCATCAGCACCGAGGTACCAACTAAATTACTGTAGTTTTTCGAAAGTCCGTAAAGTTTGGGGGAAACAGTTCTCATTTCCACCCAAGCGTCGATGATATTCCGCTTTAGTTCTAGGACTTGACAATCTAAATAAAAAGTAATTTCCTACTGACTCGCTACCCCCGTTTCCGTAAGATCATCTGCGCACATTAATTCATTTCGCAAGAACTCCATTACTGAGGCCAATGCTAACGGATCTTTGAAATTAATTGTTTTGAAACTCGGATCGGGTAAAGTTGATGCAGCTAGCAAAAAAGAATGTTCGATGGATGGATTTTAGACAACTACAGAATTCGTATATCTTGAATATAAAAAGTAAAGAGTAAAAACTCTTACTAGACCCAAAATGGTTCTCAAATATTTATGAACTAGACCCGAAAAAGTCTTGAACACGTCGCAAAACGGTTCAGAAATGTTTCCGAAATGGTGTTGAAATAGCCCTGAACTAGTCTAGAAATTTTTATTTTTAGCAATTACAGATTTTCTATTGCGTTGTACAAGAAGCAGCCACAACTTTTTCGCCGGGTCAACGCAAATTTTACCCATACCGAGAACTAACTTGTTTACACATAAAGAAATAATTATTAAATACTAAATAAACAATAGGAACGTTGTCAATACTGAGGATCAAAAGGGGTCGCTATTCTAGTGGACATCACTGTATATTACGATGGAAACAAAGCACATTTCCGAGCACATTCATAAACTTCTGATGCTCAACGATCGTCTCTCACCGAAAAGAAGGCAATTTTTAAATAGAAGACTTAATAACGAATTATAAATAAATCTGAGTAAGAAAAGGAGCAACAACAAGCTGAAGACGTTGATTGCTCGATGGAGATGGATGGTTGGATGACTGATTATTTATTGCACAGCCAACGGGTAGAGCTAAAGAACGCCAAGCGACAAGCAGCCCATGCAAATGTGATTCGTAATTGAGGCAAAAGTTAAAAGCGGTGTCTCCGAGTGCAAACAACAACAACAGCACCATCACCAAGGTGAGAGTGCATAAAAATATGACAGTAATAAAAATCAACGGTAAACAAGTGCACTAAGAAAAAACATAAAAAAAGGAACGAAGCACCAAATAAAAACAAGCCAGCAAATGAATATAAAATCAGAAGCCAACATAAAATGTAATAATGAAGAAATCATCCTATTTAAAGGCGAAAACTTGAGGACAACAATAAAAACAACGACTACCACCACAAGCAAGTGAAAAGTGATGATTGGCGGCTGAGTGGAAGTGACGACTTTAACGAATTCGGTGATGATGATGATGAAGGTGATAAAGATGAGTGTGATAAAGCTGTTGAAGGCAAAGTTAAATCTGAGCTGGGGATAAAGCGCGCGTGGGTGTGCAATGCACTAACGAAAGTCTGAGAGACGCCAAGAGGCAGGCAGTCAATTAGACGACGGCGGTACAAAGTGTAGTCGGGTAATTTTACAATTCCAGCGGAAGATCGCCGCCTTTATCGAGGAAATAAGATGATAGATGGAATCAGCCGAATGTTGCATATAGCCAATGTTGCCAGATTTTTCGAAATTTCCGATCTGAACGAATTAATTAAAATAACAGTTTTTTGTAATACATTTTTAAGATAACGAGGGACGATAAAGGAGCAGCGTTTTCTGATGAAACAAATACTTTCAAATAGTTTCTAGTCGCCACAGCAAATGTGGAAAGAATATTTGCCATAAAAGAATAAATAAACTAGAAATTGTTTTTTTAAGAATTAAACATTTCTTAAGAAACCATTCTTCAGGAGGTACTAAATTTCGGGCATAGAATCAAATGCTCGAAAATATTAACAAAGCAATTTACGAGAAATAATGAAACTCAATTTCATTAAAATAATTTGGGATTTACATATTCCCTTTTATAAAGTATATTTTGGTTTAGTTAAGTAAAATTTATTATTTTTTTTTATTTATGCTCAATAAAATTAAAAAAAAAACCTTAATGTTTTAAAAACTCCCCTCGTGGATGGTTGCAGTTTTTTTTGTTGAAAATATACAGTGACTCAAACAAATGACCACATGTTGATTTTTTATTAAATATTCGTAATATTTTTTGAGCAAAATTTTATGTTTGTTATTTTACTATAAAAATACCGTCTAAATTTTAGCCAAAAACATATAAAAAAACTTTTAAACGTTATACATGGCTTTGAAAAATTTAACAAATTTTCATTAAAATTTTCATTTGATTTTTTTGCTGACGGCTTTTGCGTTTTTTTTATACATTTAACAAGTGAAATTTACACAAACTGGCGATGATTTTTTGTTGCTAATGGTCTACCGCATTTTATTTCATAAGAAATAATGTTTATATTAAAAAAACTGCAAAAATCTGTAACAAAAAAAAAATCGAAAACAACGGCATTTTTTAGCCGTTTGAAACCTCGCACTTCATTCGACTAAAATTAAAGTGGCTATAAAACTGCATACCCAAAAATGTTATGAAGATTCAGATTAAAAAGTTGAAATTTTGATGAAATTTTTTTTGAATTCAGTATAAATTTGAAACTGTTAAAGTTTGGATGGTATTTTTGTAGGACAATAACAAAAAAAAAATTCAGCTCGAAAAACATTGCGAATATTTAAAAAAAATCGGCACGTGGTGATTGGTTTAGTCACTGTATTTTTTTTTCCGGAAATTTACAGTTTTTTGAAAATAAAATCTTGCAACACTGCACGCAACCGTCAATGTGGCGAGCAAAA